TCCTCCTCCTCCTCCTCCTCCTCCTCCTCCTCCTCCTCCTCCTCCTCCTCCTCCTCCTTGCTTCCCGCGTCTGGGGTCACAGGGCGCGGTTGCCACGAGATCCCGCAGCCAGCATAGACAAGGGGGGCAACGAGATCCAAATCGATGCGCTGCCTCAGGCCTGGCCCCTTCAGGTGGGCATGCGCACCATTCCAGGGCCCCAGGATGGGCAAGCTGCCGGGGCGGTCGGTGGATAGATCTAGACGCCCGACAGCAGAACGCTCAGGTGGGACCCTTCGGAGCGCCGACGGCTTCTGGCACGAGCGGCGCACCCGCAACCCCTCGGGCAGTTGACACACTGCGCGTCTGCGCGTACACCTGCGCGCCATCGTCGACTGCAGGCCGACGACAGAGCCTGGGGGATGGCAGAAGAGACGACACCCCCGCGTGCGCGGACGAGACCCCGCGTGCCCCTTTTCTCCGGGCCTCTGGGGCGCTCGCGCCAGCGCTCCGGGCGCGGGACGGCGACGCCGAGGCATTCTGCGCCAGCCTGGGCAGCAGAAGAGAGAGAGGGAGAGGGAGGGATCACCAACCGGCAACAGCACTGCACGCCTGCTCCGACCCCGGGCCCCCGCTTGGGCGTCCATCCCCCCTGCACGCTCCGACTGCGGGCGTGTATGTCTTCGCCGGGTGACCGAGGTGGGCACGGGAAGAGTGGGCACAGTGCCCAACAACAAACGTAGCCCCAAACCAACAGCGGCCACTGTTGGGCAGGCGGCCTTCTGTCTCAAATGGTTACAGGCCGCGGCGACACCGACAGCGAGTCCTGTTCAAAATGAACAGGAGCTCCCGTTGGGCATTGTACCCATTGCAAGGGCTCCCAACTTCGCGCTTTGCGCTGCGCGAAGCGCGAAGTGCGAATGACTTCGCGCTCTCGCGCCGCCTCCCAGGGGAGCAGAGGAGGCTGAGGAGGAATCGGAGCCGAACCGCGAAGCGCGAAGCGCGACTAACTTCGCGCTCTCGAGGGCGCCCTTACACTCTTCCCGTGCCCACTTCCTTCGTGCCGACCTTCGCCGGATCTCCTCCTCCTCCTCCTCCTCCTCCGCCTCCGCCTCCGCCTCCGCCTCCTCCTCCGCCTCCGCCTCCGCCTCCGCGATGGCCCTCGCCGAAGCACAACGCACACGTCTGGGCGATGCCGAGGCCCTGGCGGTGGCCCACCTGCGGGCCCGGGGGATCGGCGCAGGCGCCCGGGCCCGGCGCGGCCAGGGGCCCCAGAACCCCCTGCGTCGGAACTTCTGTCATTACTGAAGGGGCCCTGGGACGCACAACCAAATACACACAAATGACAGGATTCCCCATATTTTCCCATCTTTTCTGGATTCCTTATAGTTTCCCATCTTTGCTGGGTTTTCGTCTTCCCCCACACACACACACTTCCCATATGTTCCCATGTTTCCTGGGAGTCGACGGTTCATTGTGTCTGTGTGTTTTTGTTCCCTCCTGAGTTACGTCGATCCTGAGTCGCTTATTAACGGCCCCGAGGCCCCCGGAGGGCCCCCGGGAGTCCCAGAATTGCGAGAAGCCCCCCGCCATGATATTCTCATGACCCGGGGAGACCAGGGATGCACACCGGCCCTTGGGCGTCGCTTCACGTGTGGGGGGGGGGCGACAAATCGGGGTGGGAGGGGGAGAAAGGTACACTTCTCGGGCCCCAAGGGACGTCGTCTTGACACTGAAGGGCCCCCGAAGGGGCCCCTTTCTGCAGCCCTCGCTGCCCTCCCGTGCATTGATTGGCCCTCCCAACGCGACGCCCAAGACCCTGGGGCCACAGATGGGCCGGCCCCCAAGCCCTGCAACATCGAGAAACCACGAGGTGGAACCCGTGCGCCCCCCAACACGAACTGTTGTGGAGCTGGGGGCCTTCGGGTTGGGCTGGAGAGGTTTGGTAAGCAGTGGCCCCAGGGCCCTGAACCTGGCGCCATCGGCGCTCTCCCTCGAAACGCCGAGCACGGCACCCTCAACATGGTGGGGATATCCGACGGACTTTCGGCCCACGCCCGCCCAGACATCCACCGGCACGCTTTCCCAATCCGAGCCCCAACCGCTTCCCCAGGGGTAGTTTCTCGTCCCGATGGCTCCGAGGCCTGAGAGCAGCCGGACGCGCCGAACTCCGTGAGAAAACGCCGGCTGCACGAGTCAGATCGTCGGAGCTCTGGGCATGCGCATACGGTCGGGGCGTTGACCAAAGGAACGAGAAATAAGGAACGAGGCCCCTTTTTCCCATAAGTTAACCTTCGCTTTTCCATGGAAAACCTGGGGAAAACCCAAGGAGCGCTGTAAAAAAACAGCTAAGGAGCACGGAGCCCCTCCCAAACTGAAGGGGTTCCTTCTTCGGCGGCCCGACTGTACGGTCATGAACGTTTGGCCAGCGCGTCGCGAGGAGACCCTGGCGACATGCTCTGCCACGCCGGCAGACCGCAGGCAGGTCGCTCCGCGCCGCGGGGGGCGGCAGGCTCGGGGAAGCTCTCGGGACATTGGCGCCTGGGGGCCGCGACGTGGGAGGGGTGCCGCGCCGAGGCCCGGCGGGCCAGGAACGGCGGAGCGGCACGCTAAGCCAGAGTTCCCAACCGTACAGTCGGGGCGTTGACCAAAGGAACCCTAAAAAAGGAACGAGGCCCCCTTCTCCCATACGTTGAACTTCGATTTCCCATGGGAGACCTCAGGATAACCGAAGGTGCACTGCAGAGCAAGCAAGGAACCCCGAGCCCCTCCCCAACGAAAAGGGTTCCTTTTTCAGGGCCCCGACTGTACTTCTCTCCGCCCGACCTGAACAGCTCCCGGACAACGAAGAAGGCCGCCTTCGGCTCGCGGTGCAGGCTGAGCACCCCCTTGTTGTTCAGCCCTCGCGGCCTGTGCCTTGGAGCTGCTGAACAAGCAGGGCCGGAGAAGGCGAGGCCGGAGGATCACACCGCATCGCAGATGCATCGCAGGCATCGGCGACATCGGGGTGCTACCAGCCTGAAGCAGATCCCCATCCCTATGATGGGCATCGGCGTCTCTCGATGCTGATCGTAAGGACCCCCTGAGGTTCAGAGGAGGGTGCATCTCTAAGATTGTGACCACCTAGGCATAGGGATAAGCTCAAGGCTGGTCAGGATGGAGAAAATCTACGATCTCTCGACCCCCCTTCCCGGGGGCCAGCTTTCCTCTCGGGGTCGTTCTTGCGGACTGTCCTGACGCCAGCAAACGGCCTCCTATGGGCCAGAAACAGCGACGAACTGGTCGTATTTCGAGCCGCCGAATCTCTGGGCCCCACGCAGCGGTGGAGGTGCAGCAGGAGAAGGAGCAGCATAAGCAGCAGGAGTAGTGGTAGGAACAGGAGGGGCAGGGGAAGGCGGAGCAGGAGAATCAGAAAGGAGAGGACGGCGAGGAAGGAGTCGGATCTTGGGCGCGACTTAGTGGGGGGCGATCACTGGGAGGGGAAGAAAGGTGATTTTCAGGCCCTCAGGAGCATCTTTGGAGCCCTCCATATCCATCGCCCGACCCCCCCCTGACGCGCTCCCACCCCCAGGTGGCTGGGCGCGGCCGCTGTTGGAGCCGCCAAATCTTCGGGACCTCCATTTGAACGGCCACGGGTCGCCCTTCGTCGCTGGTGGAGCGGTCGACTGGGATGTCCGCAAACTGCCAGAGGGAGATGCCTGCGATCCTGGGGTTCCAGGCTGCCGCGACCACGTGGGCACGGAGCACCTCGGCCTGATAGTCCTGAGGCGAGGCCAAGACCAGGACAACATCGCGAGGGCGCGCCTCTGGACCTACCCAAAGGAGGGCGGGGGGGGGCGCTCCCCCCCCCCCCTTTCCCCGGTCCGTCGTCGAGGAGCCCCCGCCCCCCCCTTTCCCGGTCCGTCGTCGGGAACCCTCCCCTCCCCCCTTTTCCCGGTCCGTCGTCGGGGGACCCCCCCCCGTCCCTTTCAAAAGCGGGGGGGTGGGGGAGGCGAAACCCCCCGTCCTCCCCTTGGGCTTGAAATTCTCCCCCCCTCCTTACGCCACGCCGCCCCCTGACCCCAGAACCCACTCCCCCCATACCATCTCTATTCCTAGTTTCCGCCGTCACCCCAGACCCTAAACCCAACCCCTAAGCCGAGCCCCAAACAGTACTCGATACTCACTACTCACTTCTCACTGCTTCCTACTCACTACTCCCTACTCACTACTCACTACACACGACTCACTCCTCTGTACTCACTGCTCACTACTCACTACGCACTACCCAAGCCCACAAATCAGTACTCACTACTCACTACTCACTATCCACGACTCATTACTCCCTATTCGCTATTCACTACTCCCTACTCAGTACTCACTACTCACTACTCACCACCCGCTACTCCCTACACAATACTCAGTACTCACTACTCACTACTCACTACTCACTACTCGCTACTTCCTACTCGGTATTCGCTACTCAATACTCAATACTCACTATCCACGATTCACTACTCACTACGCCCTACTCGCTACACAGTACTCATTATTCACTATTCACTACCCACTACCCACTAGTCATTACGCAGTACTCACTACTCACTACTCACTACTCGCTACTCCCTCACCACTCTTTACTCACTGCGCACTGGTCACTGCTCACTACTCACTACTCACGACTCAAGACTCACTACCCACTACTCGCTACCCACATCTCTCACATCATTTTACAGACTACTCACTACTCACTGCTCACTACTCACTACTAACTACTCACTATTCACTACTGTTTACTCCATACTCGCTACTCACTACTCACTACTCACTACTGCCTACTCACTACCCACTACTCGCTTCTCACTATTCTCTCCTCGCTACTCCCTACTCGCTCCTCGCTAGTCCCTACCCACTACTCACTATGCACTACTGACTACTCACTACACACTACTCACGGTCACAATTTCTCACTACTCGCAGCTCTCTACTCACTACTCACCACTCTCTACTCACTACTCATTCCTCACTACTCACTACCCAGTACTCACTACTCACGACTCACTACTCACCACCGACTACTCACTACCCAATACTCTCTACTCACTACTCCGTACTCCCCCTTCCCTACTCAATACTCCCTATTCAATACTCACTACACACTACTCATTACTCACTACCCGCTTCTCACGACTCACTACTCACTACTCAGTACTCACCACCCACACCTACTCACTACTCACTACCCACTACTCGCTAGTCGCTACTCACTACTCAATACTCCCTACTCCATACTCCCTAACCCGCCGTCTCCGTCGCAGAAAGGAGCAGCGGGAGAGGCCCCCTCCCTGGCTCTCTGTCCGGCGTAAAGGGGGGGAGGGGTGGGGGTTCGAACACTCCCACCCCTTTGCAGCGCCAAAGGGAGGGAGGAGGGGTCGAAAATCTCACCCCGTCCGAACCGCCCCCTTTTCAATTACCGGGTGATCCAGTGGCGCGCTGTCTAACATCGCACCCAGAAAACTTTGGGGATCTCCGAACCTGGCGGCTCTGGACCCAGAACCCCGAAGTCATGGTTTTTCATCACGTCGACACCTTGAGGTATCGACCCGTTCCCCCGGAATGCCTCCTCGTCCCGAGTCTTTTTTTTTTGACCACCCGGAGGCCTAGCAAGGGCCCCCGCATGCCGAATATGGCGAACAGAATCATTCGGCCATGATGTCTTCACGACGGCGCCGCGGCCGTCACCGAGCGAACTGGTGCACGCTTTCCCCTGGGGCCGTCGAGCGAACTGGTGCACGGTTTCCCCTGGGGCCGTAGGCGACCCGAGGAGGAGGAGGAGGAGGAGGAGGAGGAGAAGGAGGAGGAGGAGGAGGAGGAGGAGGAGGAGGAGCAGGCGGAGGAGGAGGACGGGTCGCCTGAGCCCTTCGGAGAAACCCTGCACCAGAGCGCCCTGGAACGCTCTCGAACGAGTTGCCCCGGCCCCGCCCCCGGAGTCCTCCGTCCACTTCCGGCCAGGGTCGCCACGCAGCCCGAAGAGGCCCCCGGCGCCCGCCTCTCGGGCGGGCGGCCACGGGGGTGGACCCACATGGGGGGGTGAAGGCAAGGATTATGTTGCTCCCATCGTACTTAAGGACCACATCCCAGAAATCAGCCGACCCCAGAGTCGTGTGCGACCGACCTTGGCAACAGACACGCATATGTCCCAGCCACAATTATTGGGAGTTTTGTCCGCCCTCCCCTTCTCTACTTTCGGCCCGGCACTCGCATCGTCAAGACCTCGGTGTTTGGGTTTCCTCAACTTACATGTCTTGGCCCAGAACCGACCGACGTCCCACATCCCAGAAATAATTTCGAGCACCCGGAAGAGTGTCGAAAGAGTGTCAAAAGAGTGTCGAAACAGTCTCGAAAGGGTGTCTCCCAGGACCCGGAACCCTTGAGTTTTTGGGTACCTTTCTGGCGCTCGCAATTCTTTCTGGTGATCAGGGCCAAAGTAGATTTGAACATCATAAGGCAAGGGCCCTGGAGGGTCCCTTGAGGGCCTCTTTCCCGGACCCACTCGATCCATGAAGGATGCGACGGGCGATGTTTCTTTACTTTCGGACTCTGGGCCTCGGGGCCATTCAAAAAACCGGATGCAGCCACGAACCCCGGCCTTGGAGGACAAGTGGGCATGACTTGCGAGAAAGAGGAACAAACAAAGAAGAGGATGCCTACAGGGTGCATAATGCTGATTCCCGTGCTGTCCGTTTGACACTGTGCTGCTTTAAGGCGCATTGTGTTGGTTCCCGTGTTGTCCGTTTAACGCCGTGCTACTTTGTCGGGGCGTCTCCGACCATCTTGGAGCCCTGTTGGGCAGCCTTCGGGCCCTGGGGCGTCTCCGACGACCATCTCGGGGCCGTCTTAAGCAGTCTTGGGGCCCTCTTGGGGGTCTCTGGGGGCTTCCTGGGGACCTCTTGGAAGCTTCTTGGGGCCTCTTGGGGGCTTCTTGGGGCACCCTGGCGCGTTGTTGGGCGGAGAACCCAAAACGCTGGGTCCGTGCTCCCCCTCTGGGGCCCTTCTTGGGGCGTTCCTAGGGCTTTCGTAAGCCGTCTTGGAGGCCTCTGGGGCCGTCTTGGGGCCTGTCAAGAAGCCATCTTGGACGGCCTGGATCGACTTGCTGGCGACTCGTGGCTCTCTTGGACTATCTTGCGGACCATCTTGGGGCCGCCCGTGCCGCACGCAAGCGCGTCTGCCGAAATGGGGCCGTCTTCCGCCGGCTTCCGCTGGCGTTCGCCGCGTGGCCGGGGCCATGTCCAAGGGGGTACCCCCCCAGACCACCCCAGGGGAACAGTAAACGGGAACCCCTCCGCAAGGGGGCTTTCACAGGGCCTCGGGACCATCAACAAAAATGACGCAGGATGATCAACTGGTCCCTGGAAATAGGTCGAGACATCTGGGGGTCGACGTTACAACAGAAATCATGACGTCGGGGGCTGGATTTGGAGCCAGCAGGGGAGGGGCCCTAAAGGACCCCCTTACGGCCCTTTCTCTTCACCCCCGATGTGAGTCACCCCCCATTACCACCCAACCGAGCTTCAGTGATCAGCAAGGGCTTCTCCGGGAACTCGGCCTGGACCCACCAGCCGAAGGCGTCCCAGATCTCGGGTATGGCCTCCAGCTCCCCCGGCGCGGCGGGAGTCGTCGTGGGGTACCAGGCCGGGTATCCGTGGAAGGCGCACACGTCCGCCACTCCCAGCTGCCGGTCCTTCTCGCGGTGGTTCGACCCGAAGCTGACAAGGCGGGTGCCGCCAGAACTGTCCCGGAGGAGCGTCGCAATCGCCGTGTACGCAGCGCTGGTGGCCTCTCCCCCGTCGAACGACTCGCCCTCATTCAGAAAGCCCAGGAAGAGCACAGACGGATGATTGACCGAGGCTGCGGCGAGTTCCGAAGCCAGCCTCAGCATTTGACCCATGAAGAGGGCGTCCGAGAAGTCGTCCACTCGATTCTGCCACCCGAGAACTTCGTCCCAAACCACGAGTCCCCTTACGTCGCAGAGGTCCAGGAAGCGTGGATCCTGTGCGTAGTGCGATCCCCGAACGAAATTTGCCCTCAGGTCCTCCAGCAACTCCACGTCACGGACCAGGGCCTCGTAGGGCACAACGGGCGAGTCAACCATGTCGTGCCTGTTGAAGCCAAAGAGCCGGAGGGCTTCTCCATTTACCAAGATGTCGCGGCCAGCCGCGGTCACAGTTCGCAGGCCAAATCGGACCTCCACGCAATCCAATAAAGTTCCCCCGCTGCCTTCGTCTAGCAACGCCACCCTGAGCAGATCCGCCACTGTGCCACAGGGCACGCTGAGGAGTGGTAAGTTATCGCTTTAGTATTCGGCGCTTCGACATTGAGCGGAAGGGGGCGGGACGGGGGGGGTCTGGCTCTGGACCTCTGCTTGATGCCACTGTTTGCAACAGCGCGTCCGAAGGGGGAGACCCCACCTGCCCGAAACAGGCGCCAAAAACAGCCACGATCTACTCCATCGGGGGGGGGGTGCGAGGGCCCGCGCCGATCGGCAAAACAATGAACAAGAAAACGACGATTAATCCGAATGCCGAATGTTGTCAGGAGCCACGACTGCCATCTGCAGCCATCTACCAGGCAGGCTGACTCTCGCGGCCACACTCCTGATCGAGTGCACCCGCGCGCTAGCCGAGCAGTTTTGCGGGCCAAGGAGAGAGGAGGGAGGAGGGAGGAGGAGGAGAAGGAGGAGGAGGAGGACGAGGTTGGAGGAGGAGGAGGATGATGATGATGAGGAGGAGGAGGAAGGAGGAGGAGGAGGAGGAGGAGGAGGAGGACGAGGTTGGAGGAGGAGGAGGATGATGATGATGAGGAGGAGGAGGAGGAAGAGGAGGAGGAGGACCTGTTTACCTGTTTGCCTGCATGCCGTGGTTACCTGCTGCATAGGCGGGGCACGATCAACGCAATCTCGGGTCAGGGAAGGCAACCCCAGACTTAAGGGGCAACCCTCCTGACAATCTGCCAAGCACTTCCTTCCCAGCTTTGGTGGGGGGGGCCGCACTTGCACCGCAACCTCTGCGGGAAATCAACGAAATGCCTGCCGCACACCTGACAAAACAAGACTCCTCGGATGGAGGCGAGGGTGTGCGACGCGTGGCATTGGCCCGCCAAGGGATAATCCAACCCCCCACCCAGTCCGCCCTCCAACGCCCCCAGATCATCAGGCGGAAGTTCCTCACGATACCTCCGGCCCTGCACCTCGCGAGGGGGGAGGGTTTGAATAAGCTTGCAAGGGCCTGACCAGAATTCACAGAGCGGTCCTCGCTTACTGAAAATCAGGTGGCAACTGCGGCACGCCAGCAAACAAGGCCACTCTGTGCAGAAGTGTCCTATCTCACAGAGCCTGCTCAGACGAATATCCACGGCGTTAAATTGGGACATCGGGCGCCTGGAGGCTCTTGTAGCAGGGTCGCGGTCGCCAGTGCATAAAACGTCCCGCTGGACAGCGAGGATGCGGCTGAGAACCTCAACTGACACCTGGGCCCACTCAGCGGCCTTATCCGCGAAGAAACCAACACTACTGTTAAGATGTAGCTCGGCGCGGGTGAGCCGCATCATCAGGGTGGAGGACCTCAGCCTTCAAAGAATCTGTTTGGCCCATCGCCGGATCGACCAGATCGTCATTGCATCGACATTGCCAGAATCGATGGGCGGCCGTCTCGGGAGCAATCCCGCATCTAGGGCACAGGCCATGGCTGGCAGAGTCGTATCCTGATTGAAGAAGCCCATCTTCGGTTCAAAAACCAGCAGTCATCACGTTTCGCAGCGCCCCCGCGGCCTCAAAGGCCCCTTGCTTCTCCAGGTGGTTTCAAAACCTCCTGGGAACCGTGCAATCAACTCCCCCTTCCAATCCTTTGCCTAGATAATGGTTGGAGGCCAGGCCCCAAGACATGTTCGCACAGAGCTCCTGGAGGGCTATCCGGAGCGCGCGCGCGCGAAATCGCCGCCCGTCAGGCGCAGCAACGTGCTGTCGGGGAACTCCCAGAGGACGGGGCTCTTGCGGCCCGCGTCTAGATCCGGGAGAAAAGCTATGGTAGCAGCCAAGGGCCCCCGAACTTTAAGGCAACGATGCTTCGTACCTCGTAGGATCCCTCGCCTCCGATGCCAACGCTGAGCAACGCCCATCCTTTGCTCGCGATCAAGGCCCCCCCATGCATCATGAAAAGCAACAAGTTGCTCACGGCGAAGCCTAGACTGGGGGCCACCCCTCGCAGAACTCGCCAACCCGAGGACCGTGGTCGTGCAAGCCCCAGGGGCCCTCTGTCCAGAGCACCTGGCCGCTTGGGCCCTCGCGGCACGAATGCGCCCCGAGGTGCGCCCAAAGACCCGGCGACTCCAAGACCCGACCGCAAGGGCCCCTGGCTTGCGCAACTTCCCAGCGCGACCGACGATATTGCTCTGGAAAGCCACCTGCTTAGCTTTCTTGGCGGCCAGCGATCGCCTTTGCATCGTCTTCAAATGCGTCTGCGTTTGCCTGCCGAGGTCATGGCCCCCAGATCCCAGACTGCCTCCTGCAATTTGATAGGCAAGCCTGTAAACTGAAACACACCTGCGAGCTGACGGCCCAGGCCAGCATGAACAGAAACAGGAGCAGACTTAGACGAGAGGGTGCAACCCATACTTGAAAGCTGGTGCGTTAAATGCATGGCAGCTGGTACCAGTTTCGCGAGCATCTCACTCTATGCGCCTCGCAGGGACTGGGCGACGTCGCCCACGGGTGCACAGGGAAGAACATGTCAGGAGCATTGTCAAGGATATCGTACATATGTATCTTGACCCAATCCATAGCCTGCATGTACACCGCCAGTATACCTTCACCACAGTTGATGATGTCAGAGACATACCCTCCCACCCCCAACACCCGAGTGGACACGTGAATGAGGAGGCCCCAGTAAAGGAGGTGGAGAGGATAACCCATCTTAACAGCAAGCTCAATCAGCTCGCGAAAAGTCGACAGTATCAAAGAAGCGCGCGAGGTCCCAGTGGGCGCCCGCGGAGCAGAGCCCAAGCGCACGAGCGACCTGGTGGCCGAGCTCACGCAACAGGACCGCCTGGAGGGCACTCGGGCCTTGCACTGCGGTGTCGCAAAAAATGTACCTTTCAGGATTCCATCTGCCCAAGTCCTGGTTGCGAGCATTACAGTGCCCACGATGCAGGGTGGGGCACTTACAGAACTGTCTATCACACTCAACACTTCTGGGCAGGAGCGCAATCGCACTCCATGGAACCTGGGAAGGCCACACCATGCAATGCTCGCACTGATAGTGAAACCCGCAGCAGCCTGGAGCGGGAGGTCGACAATCTGGCGCTGGGCCCAATGATCCACCCCCACAGCAGTGGTCGCCGAAAAACACCTAGCTCCTCGATGGATGCCCAAGACAGCGAGAGGCTCCAACCCCTCAGCATGTGACAAGGCTCGCGGGCGGAGAGCGTCCACGGCACCTGAGACAGCAGCGCGAAAACCTGGGTCCCTCCATTTGCGTTCCCACAAACATTGACGGTAATTCGTCATCGCTGGGAAGTTGCAGCGCTCCTTCAAGGGAAACCAAACCAGCGGGGGAATCAGCCAGATCACGCTTCAACCAGGGATGGACACGTTTAGCCCCTTTGGGAAGGGCCTTTAACAACCAGAGCTTCAACCCAGCCCTGAACCTTTTATGCGCCTCCGACCACGGCGCTAAGAGTTCGGCAGAGATGGCGCCGGACATCTCGCCAAGCGCAGCATAGTCAAGCTCGGCGGGAGGTTGCCCTGCACCGCCGCCGAGCGGACCGAAGACGGCGTGCCGCCGAGCATTTGGGCGAGGAGCACCAGCTCGCAGGTGAACTGATACTCTTTGCATAAGTCCAACGAACTGGGCGCCTATGCTGGCAATCGCGCGCGAGGACGTCTTAACGCGACGCAGTCGGGGCTCAGACCACCCATGCGACACCTGGGCCCAGGAAAACTCTTCCCCCAGGGCCCCTCCGAGCAATAATGGTTTTGCGAAAAGCAACGCGTATTCACAATGCGCCACGCTGGGAGACTGATCACATGCAACCGCTCGAGACTCTAATCTGGCCTCGGTCGCTCTAGACCAGATCAGGCACAAAGTCCTAAGCGAGGAACTCGACAAATCTTGCGCATGAGGAACCATCGCATCATTCAGATACTGCGGCACTTCGCATTGGCCTGGGTCCCCCACCATAGCCACCGCGCGATTCCACGGAAGGCCGGGGCCGCATCAATGAGGATACTTCGGAGGTCGAAGCCGCCGCCGCATCGCCCGGTGCAGCGCCCGGCGCTTCAAGGCGAGGGCCAAGCACGGGTGGGTCTCGAAGGGGCTCGGGAAATATGGCTCCAGGGCAACATGCTCCCCAATATCACGAGAAACCAAGACGCAATCAATAAGTGAGCCCATTCCTTGAGCGCAAGTAGCATCTACTCCATCAGGTGCAACGACACGGGCCGAGGCAAGCTGGGGGGAACCAGCGAGGTCCATGTCGGGAGCAGGAATGTCGAAGCCCCCGAGGAGCATCCAAGGGATAGCGAGGGCCCCTGGGAACTCCGCAACAGACCGCATCCGTTCGGTGTGGCCCCCGAGAAGCCCAAGTCAGAAATCAAATAAAGGACACCTGCAGCCAAGACGTACGTCCGAGTCCTAAGCTCGAGAAAAAATTCAAGCGGGGCCCGCGCCCAAACCCTCGAGACCAGACCTGGCCAGGAAACGCCGAAAACAGAAGCACCTCGGAGACGCAGCATCCTGCGCGTCCCTGTGTGGCCCCTCCAGGGGACGGCAACGCAAGAACTAAATGGGGCCTCCATCCCATCTGGGAAGCATCACGTCGGGCGCGGGAGAGCTCGCAAAGCCTGAGATGACGCTTTGGCCTAGTCACTTGCAGGAAGTCTAAAGTCACTTGGTTCCAGCTGGTTATTTTACAACCAATAGGAAATCTCATCCGTCTCACGATGGTCGACCTTCCTGCTACCACTCCTGCTGGCCATCCCCTGCGCCCCGAGATCGACTGCGGACACGGGGGGCAGGAGGAACGACATCAGCATCGCCGGCGGCCGTCTCATGGGCCGCACGAGGAACTGGAGGTTGATGCGCTGGACGGGGAGCTGCCGCTGGAGCACCATCGACAGGGTGCGTATGGGCCAACACTCGCTCGAAGGAGCTCTGGGCCGCATCGCGTACAGTGCGGATCTGGTTCTGGGCTTTGACCTTGGCACTCTTCTGCATGAGTCGCTCCATGGCGGTGAGTTCCTCAGGAGAACGACCATGATCAAGACTCTGTTTTCTTGAGCACGTCCAACTTCATCTGGTACTTGGCCTCGTCCTGCACGACAGGCAGAACAGACTCGGCGCCATCGGCCTGCAACTGCTGGTTGGAAATCTTGATCTGGGCCCAATACTCGAAGCGCTGGCCCTTCTCGCCACACCGTTCTCGTAGCTCAATTTCCGACATGTTGGCAAGGTTGGGCGGGATCGGCGGGATAGGTCCAGGAGCCCCCGCCGCAGGGGCTACTGGCGCATAATCAACCTGCATGGGTGCCGCAGCAGGGGCCTAGTGCCTTCCAACAACCGCCCAAGCGTGGATCTGGCACCGCGGCAGGCGCCTGCGCGGCAGCAGGGGAGGCCGCAGCAGCCTCCCTCTGCACACGTATTTGAACGAGCCTCGCATGCTCGGCCCGTTCGTCCTGCATGATCTTCTCCTTGGACGCCCAGGGGTCGAAACTGTCCATGGCTGCGTAGGACATACGGTAAGCGGCCGCAACAGCCTCCAGCTCCGCGACCGCATTGCGATGTGCCTCGGCTGGTTGGGCCAGACCATCACGGTGTCTGACCACGGCCGCGAGACGAATCTCCAATTCATACTGGGCGAACCCCTCAGCCTTCGAATCCTTCTCCGCCGCCTGCGCCAACGAGGCCCGCTGGCGCCCGACACGCTTGTCAAGCTCACTCTCGGTGGCCAGCGGCGGCGGGTCAGGAACATCACGGGGTAGAACTTACGCGCGAGCAGCACGGATGTGTTCGGCTTGATCAGGGGACAGGTCTGAAAGCCTGTCGAACTCGGCTCCCAAGCCATGCTGGGTCCGAGGGGCGCGCTCCACATGTCGATCACGACCTGCGCCCTTGTACTATCCGCCACATTGGCAGCACTGCACGTGCCAATGCTTGTGCTATTCCCAATGTCCACATGTCGAACATACAGAGCAGGCGCCACCTCCTGCACGCTGCTTCTCCTGATGCCAGGGCGCACGCCAGCGCCAGGCCATGATCGGGACAGGGACGAGAGGAGAAGAACAACGCTCCCAAGGGAGCGAACACGAGTAACCTTGCCACTATGCAGAGCCTTGGCGACGGAGCAGCCGCAGCTAATCGCTGGTTTTCGGGCGTCTATAGCCCATCACAACGTTTAGCCTTGAGCCAAAATGGCTACGGGGAGGAGGAGGAGGAGGAGGAGGAGGAGGAGGAGGAGGAGGAGGAGGAGGAGGAGGAGGGACAAGTTAGGTGCGCTCGCGTCAACATCTGACATCCTACCCCTCCATCCCTTACCATGGCGCTGATTTTCTATATCCACGGACGCGTGTCGTAGCGGACCTGTGGCTCCGCGCGCGTGTGCATAGTGGGTGGTGGTGCGCGTGCGTGCGTGCGTGTGTGCGTGGTTGTGGTTGTTGTGGTGGTGGTGGTGTATGTGTGTGTGTGCGTGTGTGCGCGTGTGCTGTGGTGTGACGTGGTGTGGCGTCTTGGTGGTTTGGTGGTGGGCCAGGTGCGTACGTGCGTGATGGCGGTGGTGGTGGTGGTGGTGGTGGCGGTGGTGTGTGTGTGTGTGTCTGTGTGTGTGCGTGTGTGTGTGTGTGTGTGTGCGTGTATGTGTGTGTGTGTGTGAGTGTGTGTGTGCGTGCGTGCGTGCGTGCGTGCGTGCGTGTGTGTCTGTGCGTGCGCGCGTGTGATGAGGTGTGACGCGGTGCAGCGTGGTGGTGGTGGGTGGGGTAGTGCGGTGGTGGTGGCGGTGCGCGGCGGTGATGCGCGTGCGTGCGTGCGTGCGTTGGTGGGTGGAAGTGGCGGTGGGTGTGCGTGCGGCGGGGCGGGCGTGGTGCAGCGCGGTGGTGGCGGGCGGATGGGCGCGCGAGAAAGAGGCCCGCGCTGGGGCGAGAACGCCATCCTGAACGACGGAGGCAAAACACCGATCCGAAAATGAGGCCCACGCTGCAGCGGGAGCACGATCCGGAACGATTCGGGAGCAGAAATGAGGCCGGCGCCTCAGCGAGAGCAGCATTTTGACAAAAAACGCAAGCGAAAACCCAACTCCCGGGAATCCTGTGTGTAAAAAATACACGGGTGGGGTCTACTACTTTCAGGCCGCCTTCGGAGGAAGAGGGAGAGTAGTATTCAGATTGAGAAATTGTGGAGGGAGGAGGGAGGAGGGAGAAAGGGAGGAAGGGAGCAAGGGAGGAAGGGAGGAAGGGACTAAGGGAGGAAGGGAGGAAGGGAGGGAGGGAGGAGGACAAGCTATGTGCTCTCGCGTCATATCTGACGTCCTACCCCTCCCTCCCATCCCTTACCATGGCGCTGATTTTCCCTATCCGCGGACGCGTGTCGTAGCGGACCTGTGGCTCCGCGCGCGCGTGCGTAGTGGGTGGTGGTGCGCGTGCGTGCGTGCGTGTGTGCGTGGTTGTGGTCGTGGTTGTGGTTGTGGTTGTGGCTGTGGTTGTGGTTGTGGTGTGTTGTGGTTGTGGTTGTGTGTTGTGGGTGGGGTGGTGGTGGTTGTGGTGGTGGTGGTGGTGTTGGGTGGGTGGTGTGGTGGGTGGGTGGGTGGTGGGTGTGGTGTGTGGTGTGGTGTGTGTGTGTGGGGTGGGGGGGTGGGGTGGGGGTGTGTGGGTGTGGGTGTGCGTGTATGTGTGTGTGTGTGGGTGTGTGTGTTGTGTTGTGTTGTGTTGTGTTGTGTTGTGTTGTGTTGTGTTGTGTTGTGTTGTGTTGTGTTGTGTGTGCGTTGTGCTGTGTTGTGTGTTGTGTGTTGTGTGTGTTGTGTGTAGGTTGTGTGTTGTGTGTATGTTGTGTGTTGTGTGTGTGTTGTGTGTGTTATGTGTTGTGTGTGTTGTGTGTGTTGTGTGCGTTGTGTGTGTTGTGTGTTGTGTGTGTTGCGTGTGTGTGTGTTGTGTGTTGTGTGTGTTGTGTGTGTTGTGTGTGCTGTGTGTTGTGTGTGTTGTGTGTGTGGTGTGTGTGTCTTGTGTGTTGTGTGTGTGTTGTGTGTTGTGTGTTGTGTGTGTTGTGTGTTGTGTGTGTTGTGTGTGTTGTGTGTGTGTGTTGTGTGTTGTGTGATGTGTTTGTTGTGTGTGTGTTGTGTGTGTGTTGTGTGTGTGTGTTGTGTGTGTGTTGTGTGTGTGTTGTGTGTGTTGTGTATGTGTGTGTTGTGCGTTGTGTGTTGTGTGTGTTGTGTGTGTTGTGTGTGTGTTGTGTGTTGTGTGTTGTGTGTTGTGTGCTGTGTGCTGTGTGCTGTGTGTTGTGTGTTGTGTGTTGTGTGTTGTTTGTTGTGTGTTGTGTGTTGTGTGTTGTGTGTTGTGTGTTGTGTGTTGTGTGTTGTGTGTGTTGTGTGTTGTGTGTTGTGTGTTGTATGTTGTGTGTTGTGTGTTGTGTGTTGTGTGTTATGTGTTGTGGGTTGTGGGTTGTGGGTTGTGTGTTGTGTGTTGTGTGTTGTGTGTTGTGTGTTGTGTGTTGTGTGTTGTGTGTTGTGTGTGTTGTGTGTGTTGTGTGTGTTGTGTGTTGTGTGTTGTGTGTGTTGTGTGTGTGTTGTGTTGTGTGTGTTGTGTATGTGCGTGTGTGCGTGTGTGCTGTGGTGTGACGTGGTGTGGCGTCTTGGTGGTTTGGTGGTGGGCCAGGAGGTGCGTGGGTGCGTGTCGGCGGTGGTGGTGGTGGCGGTGGTGGTGGTGGTGTATGTGCATGTGTGTGTGCGTGTGTATGTGTGTGTACGTGCGTGCGTGTGTGTCTGAGTGCGCGCGCGTGTGATGTGGTGTGACGCGGTGTAGCGTGGTGGTGGTGGGTGGGGTAGTGGGGTGGTGGTGGCGGTGCGCGGTGCGTGCGTGGTGCGTGCGCGTGCGTGCGTGGTGGTGGGGTGGTGGTGCGCGTGCGTGCGTGCGTGGTGCGTGCGTTGGTGGGTGGAAGCGGCGGTGGGCGGTGCGGGGCGCGGTGCGGTGGTGGCGGGCGGATGGGCGCGCGAGAAAGAGGCCCGCGCTGCGGCGATAACGCCATCCTGAACGACGGAGGCAAAACACCGATCCGAAAATAAGGCCCACGCTGAGGCGGGAGCACGATTCGGAACGAGCGGAAGCCCAAAAATGAGGCCGGCGCCTCAACGAGAGCAGCTTTTTGAAAAAACCCAAGCGAACACCCAACTCTGGGAAATCCTGTGTACAAAAACAGTACGCGGAGGGGTGCCCGCTATCTTCCGCACGCCATCAGGGGATGGAGGAGAGTGTATTCAGATTGAATAATTGTGGAGGAGGAGGGGGAGGAGGAGGAGGAGTAGAGGAGGAGTAGAGGAGGAGGAGGAGGAGGAGGAGGAGGGAGGAGGAGAAGGGAGGAGGAGGTGGAGGCCCCTCCTATCCCGAGGCCTCCTGGGCACAGCCCTGGCGCTCCTGCTCCAAAGGGCTTTCCAGGCGGCCGAGGCAGGCCAGAAAAGCCGCCACGAGGTGGCCAAATACTGTGTGCATCCTAGATTTCTTCCTCCTCGATCTCTTTCTCCTCAAGTTCCTCCTCGATTTCGCTCTCCTCGATTTCTTCCTCGATTTCGACCCAGGCCCGAGATTGCCCCGAGACGGCCCAAGATGGCCTCAAGACGGCCCAAGAGGCCCCCGAGACGGAGCCAGGTTCCCAGACGGCCCGAGAGCATCGAAGCAATCAGTGATCCCGCGGTTTGTTTTACCCATGTTCGCTTTCTCACCTTGTCGGGCGTCCGCCAGCGAAATACAACCTCAGAGGCCCCCAAGATAGCCGCAAAACGGCCGCAAGAAGCCCCCCCAAAAGGGTCCCAAGAGGTTCTCGAGATGGCAGGCCTTCAACTAGCCCCAAAACGGCCCATGGAATCCCCAAGACGGGCCAAACGACCCCTAAGATCCACGACGCCCCTTCAGAACCCCAAAAGGGCCCAGAGGGCCCCAAGGCGGACCCCAAAGAGGAGGTAAGAGGAGGAGCTGAGGATGACGGCGACGATCTCGAGGAGAGACATCCCGACACGACGCGGAGGGCTTCACGGCCCCCCCCAAGTCTCGGGACACGGGGTGCCGCTCGTCCTCGGCTACCTCTGCGCTCCTCGAACGGTCGCCCCCCGGGGGCAATCATGGGCTTCGGAGCAGGGCGAGCGGAGGCAGAGGCAGCTCGACATCGGCCCCCAGACCCCTCCCGCGGTCCAAACGCCCAGGTTTTCCGAGGTGCGTCCAGCCGTGCCGACGATAGGGGAACAAAAAAGTGGCATGAACATAAAAACTCGGAGGTCCGCGCGGATTTCTCGGATCGGCGCTGGACCCCCCTCCCTGGCACGCGGAGCGCGCCATGGGGCGGCGCCGGAGGCGCCGCAGGGGGGCCCCAGCGCCGATCCGAGAAATCCGCGCGGACCCCCGAGTTTTTATGTTTAGGCCACTTTTCGTTCCCCTAAACTGGCCATCGCTCGGACGTCCATTCCCTGTGCTTTTTTCGGTTTCGTGCGTGGTTTTTCTGCAAAATGATCAAGGATGCTCCTCGATGGCCCTCTGCGAGAGAAAAATGCACACGTCCGAGCGATGCCAAGTAAACGAGGCCCCCCCCCCCAAAGGCCAACCATGCCGCTGCCCGAGCCCGCCCTCCGCGCAGGCGGGACGTGCCGCAGGCAGGCGGGCTAGAGCTGCGGGGGCCCCGCGCGGGGCCTCGGCGCCCAGGGGCGCGCGCCCGGGATGCCGACGCGCCAGACGCTGTGCGGCTCCAGCTCGCCCCACGCCTCGGACACGGCGCAGGCACCGGCGAAGGCGGCGGCAGGGTCGGCCGCGGGGCCGAGCAGCCAACGGTAAGAGAGGCCGGGGCTGGCTGGTGAGGCTTCGGGCTGCGCGCAGGCGGACCCCCCAGGTGGTCCCGGCTGGCCTCGATCCGCAGGCTCCCCGAGTAGACCAGGGCGGGCTCAACAGCATGCCCCCCAGTCCCAGCTGGCCCTAACAGTCGTAGCACCAGCCGGTGCCGCCTCCGGCGCCACCCCCAGGGCGCTCCGCGCTACGGAGTTGGTGTGTCGAGGCCGCCCCGGACTGTGGTGAGGCTATTTTTTTAATTAGGCAGCATAGAGGACCACTTCGTGAAATATACACCTGCTCGTGATAAGTACGTATACTACACTCCTACTCGTATGTTGACAGGTCACGAGTGCCTCGATGTCACGCCGCAGAGCGTGATCCCACAATGGGTAGTATGCAGTCCTCCCGAGGAGAACTGAGAACGGGGGCTGTGGTGAGGGCACTGGAGGAAGGAACCCTTGAAGAGAGAATCCAGGATCTCAAAGACGGTGGAGCACCGCCCTGGCCGGGGCCTGTGGGTGAGCCCTGGCCGGGGCCTGTGGGTGAGAGGCCCGGAGCCAGTCCTCGCCCGGGTCTCCCGGGCTTGAGATGCGGAGCGAGAAGAGAACGAGGAGGAGGAGGAGGAGGAGGAGGAGGAGGAGGAGGAAAACGAGGAGGAGAACGAGGAGGAGGAGGAGGAGGAGGAGGAGAAGAGGGGCCTGCCCGTGGATACCACCGCCGCCCCCAGCAGACACGAAGCCCTCCAGGGCCTGAAGCCTGCTGGGCACATCCTCCCACGAGCGCCCCCACCGTACTCGGCCGAGAGCGAGCGAGGAGGAGGAGGAGGAGGAGGAGGAGGAGGAGGAGGAGGAGGAGGAGGAGGAGGAGGAGGAGGAGGAGGAGGGGGCGAGCGCACGATCAGTCAAAGGCCGTTCAGTGGGCAGGGGCTTCAGGAGGAGGAGGGGGGGGGGGGCCCGTTGAGGCCAGCTGGGGCTCCCTTGGGGAGGCTGCCTGTGCGCAGCCCGCAGCCTTACCGGGACTGGCCGCGGCCGCCGCGGAGGGCTCCACCGTCACGTCCGCGGCGGACAGCGACCGGGGCAACACGCGCACAGAGTTGACGTAGCGCGGCGCGGCGCCAGGCAGCTCGTGGAACTGAACCGCGCGCAGGATGCCCCCCGCCTGGCACCAGTCATTCTTATCCAATGGAAATCCGCTGCCCCCCAGGAGTACTGTCCCAGTCGCGCAACCCAGAACCGCGCGTCTCAAGCATGACTCGCACCGGGAAGGGAAGAACTCAGTGGCAGTATAAGCGGTAGCAGCGGGGCACCAGGCAGCGCGACCCTTAAAGTGTCAACAAGATCTGAGGAGAGGGGCCGAGTAGGGGCGAGGAGGAGGAGGAGGAGGAGGCCCCCGCCTGGTACCAGTCGTACCGCGGGTGATTCCTGAGATCCGACGTCGCGAACGACAAAAAGCAACGTCGTGGAAAAGCACAGCCAAAGATCTGGACCCGAACCTTGCTGCAACGTTTCTCGATACGGATCGATATGTTACCCGAGGGCCCGAAAGAGGGCAACACGTTGTGACGTCAGGATCTCAGGGATGGACGGGGTGCGTCGTGGAGTTGAAGCGGTTGTCCGCGAGCACCAGCACCTCGCGGCTTCGGCCCGCGCGCCCAGGGGGCACGTCCACCCAGAACGGGGACAGCCCGGCGTGGTCCTCGGAGTCTCATCTCACAGGTCTCCATCCCCACTGGCATGGCCGTGGCCCCACTGGCCGACTTGCCCGAGCATGTACGCCTGTTCCGTCGGCTTTCGCGGGGCCTCCCCCCCCCCTCGGGGGCTTGGCTGGCGGGGCTGGGATACTCGACGCACATACCGTATCCGCGGCCTCGCGGGCCGGGCCCCTGGGCCACAACCCTGCGGACACGGGGCGTTTTTGCTCGCGGATGCCCCTCGCGGAACGTTTCCGTGCGACCGCGTCTCTGCGGGATCGCGCCCTGGAGTCCAGTACCACGAAGGCGCGAGTACGGGTATGTTCGCCACTCGTGAGCTACCATGGCCCAGTCGGGATGGAGAACGGTGAAACGATGCTGGCCTCGAGCAGCTGGCCATCCACCGCCACCAGGCAGCGCATCGCGCAGCCCCCGAAGTGCAGCACCGCGGCCGCCCCCCCCCGCGAGGGCACCTCTCCAGGCCTCCCGGATGGGATCCGAGCAGACGATCGAGATGCACTGGCGACGTCGGCAACACGTCAGCACCCCTGGGCTCCCTCGACTGACGTCAAAAACTACGACGGACGATTTTTCTGCATTTTCGGCCTCAGGGGGCCCTCGCAGGGCCTCGGGACCGTCAAAAAATGATTTGGCTGGGACGAAAAACCGAACATGGGGAATGGGTCCAGACCTCTGGGGGTCGACGTCGGGGAACAATCATCACGTCGTGGATCTAGGATTTGGGCTCGGCGATGTGACGCGATCCTCCGACCCCATCTCCCAGACATGCGATGTCCTGTGTTTTTCACTGCGGCCCCCCAGAAGTCCCGACCCTGTCCCTGGGGCTGGTTTCGAATAGCATTTTGACGGTCCCAGGGCCCGGTGAGGGCCCCCGGAGGCCCACAACTGAGAAACACCTCCACCTTACGACGCAGGCAGCAAGCATTCCTGGGCATGCATCGGCGATGCGGTGCGATCCCCGTCTACTCGGACCGAACCCCATCATTCGGAAGGCCTCCAGCCTCGGCCCGGTACGCCGCCACCCCGCGCCGGGCCCGGAGCGGGTCCTGCCCACAGCAGTACCGGAAGCCCCGTGAGCCCGGCTCCGCCTCGTGGGGGGGATCTGGGCGCTGCGACTCTCTCACGCCGGGCGTTCCCAGAGATCCGAGGCTCCGAAAACCTGGTGTAGCCACGAACACCGACCTTGAAGGACAAGTGGGCATGACTTGCGAGGAGGAAGAAAACTGCGAGGAGGATGCCTATAGGGTGCATAATGTTGATTCCCGTGCTGTCCGTTTGACAGTGCGCCGCTTTAAGGCGCATTATGCTGGTTCCCGTGTTGTGTTTAACGCCGTGCTACTTTGTCGGGGCGTCTCCGACCACCTTGGAGCCCTGTTGGGCAGCCTTCGGGCCCTGGGGCGTCTCCGACGATCATCTCGGGGCCGCCTTAAGCAGTCTTGGGGCCCTCTTGGGGGTCTCTGGGGGCTTCCTGGGGACCTCTTGGAAGCTTCTTGGGGCCTCTTGGGGCCTCCTGGCGTGTTTTTTGGGCGGAGAACCCAAAATGCTGGTCCGTGTTCCCCCTCGTGGGCCCCTCTTGGGGCGTTCCTGGGGCTGTCTTAAGCCGTCTTGGAAACCTCTTGGGCCGTCTTGGAAGCGTCTTGGGCCGTCTGTGCGCTCTCTTGGGAGCGGCTCGTAGGCCATGTTGGACGATCTGTAAGGCCTGTAGGGCCGTCTTGGAGCGTCGGGAAGCCGAAAAGGCGAAAACGCTAAAAGCCTTGAAAAAGCTATGGAAAATCAATGAACTTTGACTCTGGGTGCTCTTTTGGGGGGCCCCTTGGGAGCCTCCAGGGGCGGCTTGGTAGCTTCCGGGCCTGTCGGGAAGCCATCTTCAACGGCCTGGATCGACCTGCTGGCGACTCGTGGCTCTGTTGGGCCATCTTGCAAACCATCTTGGGGCCGGCCGTGCCGCACGCAAGCGCGTCTGCCGAAATGGGGCCGTCATCCGCCGGCTTCCGACGGCGTTCGCCACGCGGCCGGGGCCATGTCCAGGGGGGTACCCCCCCAGAACCCCCCAGGGGAACACCAAACGGGAACCCCATCCGCAAGGTCGGGGAAGAAAGAGCTGAGAAGATGATGGCTATGGGGCCTTGTTGTAGCCTCTTGGAAGCCTCCTGGGCCTTCCTGAGGGCCTCTTGGTGCCTCCTGGTGGTCTTGTTGGACGGAGAACCCAAAATGTCGGTCCTGCCCCCCCCTGTGGAGGCTTTCTTGGGGCGTTCCTGGGGCTTCGGAGGCCGTCTTGGAGGGCTCTTGGGCCGTTCTGACGTTCTGAAGCGTAAGCGTTTGCGTTTATCCTGGGTCTCTCTTGGGCAAGTGGGCGTGACTTGAAAGCAGGAGAGCAGCAAAGAAACGGATGCCAAGAGGGCATCTGGCGTTGGTTCCCGTGTTGTCCGTTTGTCACGGTGATGCTTTGTCGGGGCGCCTCCAGCCATCCTGAGGCCCTCTTGGGCAGACTTGGGGCCCTCTTCAGAGCCTCTGGGAGCTTCCTGGAAGCCTCTCCGAAGCTTCTTTGGGGGCCTCTCGGAGGCTTCCTGGGGCGGCTTGGTGCCTTCCGGGGCCGTCAGGAAGTCGTCTTGGACAAGATGCGAGCGACGAAGTACGGTCAGCACGGCACCATGTGAGGCAGTCGTAAAATGAGGGCCGTGCGAGGTGAGCCGAGCACGCTTTCATGCGAGCCACTGGCGGGCGGCAGGTGGGCGTGGTTTGCAAGAAAGGCACCATGCGTGCCGCTTGAACGAAATAATGCCGTGTGCGGTGAGCTCAGCACGCCACCATACGAGCCACCGGCTTTGCAAGGGCCGTGCGCGCGCAGGGCTCCAGGGCCAGGGCCCCTCTGGGGCCATCCTGAGGGCCTCCTGGTCGTGCGTGAGAAGGTGTTGAGAGGGGGGAAACGTGTGCGAACAGAGCACGTGAACATGCGAGCCACGAAGTGAGCTCAGCACGGCACCGTGCGAGCCACCTGTCGAAGGAGGGCCTCGCGAGGTGAGCTTAGCACGTGGCCATGCGAGCCACCGGGGGAGGACAGGGGGAGAGCACGCGAACCTACGAGCCGCGAAGTGAGCTCAGCACGGCACCGTGCGAGCCACTCGTCAATCGAAGGCCTTGCGAGGTGAGCTCAGCACGCGGCTATGCGTTTCACAGGGGGGTGACAGTGGCCGTGACGTGCGAGAAAGAGAACAGCAGAGAAGATGATGACTACGGGGCTCATTGGGTTGGTTCCCGTGTTCCCCGTTTTCACGTCATGGAGCATTTGTGGCAATCCTGGAGCCCTCTTGGGCAAAGGGGGCGCGACTTGAGAGCAAGCGGACAGCAAAGAAAAGCGTGCCCAATGGGCACCTGACGTTGGTTCCCGCGTTGTCCGTTTGGCGGTGTCACGCTTTGTGGGTGCGTCTCCAGTCTTCGGGCCTTCTGGGGCAGTCTTCGGGCCCCCTTGGGGGCCGGTGGGGGCTTCCCGAAGGCCTCTTCCAGGGTTCCTAGGGCCTCTTGGAAACCCCTTGGGGGCCTCCTGGGGGCCTCTTGGGGCCTCCTGGGGGTCTCTTTGGGCGGAGAGCCTGACATGTGAGTCCCTGCCCCTCCTGTGCAGGTTTTCTTGGAGCGTTCCTGGGGCCTTCGGAGGCCGTCTTGGAGGCCTCTTGGGCCATTTTGAAGGCGTCTTGGACTGACTGGGCGCTCTCTTGGGGGCCTCTTATGCTGTCTTGGGGCGATCTTTGGGACCTCTTGGGCTGTCTTGGAGCGTCGGGAAGCCGAAAACGCGGGAACCCGAAGAACCTTCAAAAACCAGACACGAACTTATGACTTTTGACACTTGGGGCTCTCTCGGAGAGCCTCTCCGGAGCCTCCCGAGTCGTCCTCGGAGCTCCCTGGGCCGTCTGGACGCGATCGTGGACGGCCTGGATCGACCTGCTGGCGACTCTTGCTCCTCTTGGACCATCTTACGGACCATCCTGGGGCCGCCCGTGCCGCACGGAAGCGCGTCTGCCGAACTGGGGCCGCTTCCGCCGGCTTCCGCCGGAGCGCGCTCCGTGGCCGGGGGGGGTTCCCGGGGGGGGTACCCCCCCAGAACCCCCCCAGGGGAACACCAAACGGGAACCCCATCCGCAAGGTCGGGGAAGAAAGAGCTGAGAAGACGATGGCTATGGGGCCTTCTTGTAGCCTCTTGGAAGCCCCCTGGGCCTTCCTGAGGGCCTCTTGGGGCCTCCTGGTGGTCTCGTTGGACCCCCCCCCAGACCCCCGCCAGGAGAGCACTAAACGGGAACCCCTCCGCAAGGTCGGGGAGAAACGCGCCGCAGGAAGAGTTGGGCCCCCCCTGCTTCCCCTATCGTTCAAAGCTTAACGACTTCTGCCGTCCTTCGACTCGCGCTGGGGCGGCTCTGAGTTTCTCCAGCTTTTCCTGGAGATCTCTGGAGCTGCCTGGATCTATCTGGATCTACCTCGATGCACCTGGATTTGCCTCGACTTACCTGCATTGTCCCGGATTGAATCTGGCTCGATCCCCACAAGTCGATTGGCGAAAAAGTCGACAAGCCTTAAGTCGGGCCTGTCCCTCTACAGGGGGAAAATTCAAAAATAGTCAAAAATAGTCAGGGGATTATGTTTTCAGTATGTTGTTGCTCTTTGGGTGTATTTTTTGAATACTTTTATTTTTCGTTGAAAATCCCCCTGTAGGGTGACACGTCCGACTTAAGACAAGCCCTGAGGGACTCTGACCGCATCTTCGCCGCGCCGTTGGTCCTCGACAGCGGACGACGCCGACGGCACGGCAGAAAGCCACGGGAGGCCCTGCGCCCCCTGCCAAAAGGCAAACGGCACCGGGCACCGCGGCAAACACCCCACGGGCAGAGCCTGTTCCCGCGGCGGTGCTTGCCCCCCTCCCCAAAACGTACGGTTAAGTCGGGCGCGTCCCCCAATGCCCAAAAGTATTCAAAAAATACTCCCCAGACTATTGTTTCACTATTTGGGAATATCCCCCCTGTAGAGGGACAGGCCCGACTCAAACGTGCAGCCACGCGTCGGAACAGACGGCGCGGAGACATCTGCATACATGTGTTTCGATGCTGACCCCAGCAGCCCGCGCTCGTGCCGCACGCAGCACGGCCCGCAGAAAGAAAAAAACATGGGTCCACAACCCCCCGACGTCATGATGTCGTCATGACGTCGACCTCCAGAGATCTCGACCCATTCCCCCGGACCGGCTTCTCACTCTGAGTCGTTTTGTTGACGGCCCCGAGGCACGGCAAGGGCCGTCAGAGGCCGAAAACATAGCAAAACATTCCGTCGTCTTTTTTGTGGCACGACTCGAGGGATTCTGGGTCTACGGGCTCCGCACGCGACTGTGCACGATGCCGCGCCTTCCTCCGCAGCGACGGCTCTCAGGAGGCTGGGGGGCAGGCAGCTGCTGCGCGCCCGCTCCCCGATCCTGGTCGGGCCCGCGCTTGGCCCAGGAGCGCTCCCAGAGGTCCCACGTCGTGGTGTTTGTCACCACGGGGTCCCCCGAAGTCCCGACCCTGTCCCCAGGGCGGGCACTTCACCCTGAGTCGCTCTTGGGCGGTCCCGGGGCCCGGCGAGGGCCTCTGGAGGCGGAAGCATGCGAGATGATGGTGATGCTGCTGATGGTGCTGAGGGTGATCATGGTGATGCTGCTGCTGCTGATGATGATGCTGCTGCTGCTGCTGCTGCTGCTGATGATGATGATGATGATGATGATGATGATGAGGATGATGTTGATGATGATGTGGATGTGGATGATGTTGATGATGTGTTCTTCCAGTGCGCCTTGATTTGTTCAACGCGTTAGATCTCTGGGGTGCACCCTGCGCGCCGCCTTCTCCAGCTCAGGCCGGGAGGGGGCACGAGGAGCTGGGCCCAGGAGGGGCCTGGCCAGGCCCGGCGTGACGCGTGCCCTCCTCCTCCTGGCCAGGCCTGGCGTGATGCGTGCCCTCCTCCTCCTCCTCCTCCTCCTCCTCCTCCTCCTCCTCCTCCTCCTCCCGCTCGACCTTGCCCGAGATCGGAGCGTCTGGGTGCCCCTGGGAACTCGCGGGCCTCCTCGAGGAGCGGTGGGCGTCGGGAGGCCTGCCCGCCTCCGAGGGCAAGGCCCGCCAGCTGGGGTCGGAGGGTCGCGCCGCACCGCCGCTGCACCGCCAGCGCATCGGCGATGCATCCGCAACGTCGGCGATGCATCGGCGGCGTAAGCGTTGAGAAAAAACTGGTTTTATATTGAGTTGCCTCGCCGATGCATCGGCGATGCGGCGCGATCGGCTCGGACGCCATCTGGGAGGCCTGGATACACGTACCCGGGCATCCGCCGATGTGTGTGGTTTCTTATTCAAAAAAATCCGCGGATCAAGGACGTCCCGAAAGCTTCCCCGGGGGTAGTTCTCCGCCCCAAGATCTACGTTTGATTGCCCAAGGGCCCGAAAACTGACCCCAGAGGCCCCAGACAACCGAAATCGCTGAAAAAAAAACGGTGGACAAAAATCATACCGTCGGACCGCCCCCGAGCGTGGCTGGCGCTCCCCGCCGCCTCGCGGAAAGCCCACACGCCGCCCTCGAACGAGAGCTCGTCGTCCCAGCAGGTGGGGTCGCCGTGGAAGCCCCGGGAGCGGTCGCAGCAGCGCCCGCACCGCGCCGGGTCGCCCGGCCAGCACTCCTCGCACCTGAGCGTCGTTTGACCGATCCATTACCCCCACTGGCGTGGTCTTGGCCCCACTGGCCAACTTACTGCGGGATGACGATCAATAAAAAATGGAAGAGAACGATTACAAAAACAGTGTTCTGCTATTTCTGCACAACTTTCTGACTGGAGGAGAATGATTAGAAAATAGCTGTCCAGCCCGCGGCCAGTTGTTTCTAATCGTCATCCCGGGCGCCGCCGCGTGAACACGACCCCCACACATTTATTAATCGTCATCCTCCATTACTGTCACTGGCGTGGTCTTGGCCCCACTGGCCAACTTACCCAGCCAGGTGGGAGCATATGCCGTTTCCTTCGGGTTTCACGGGGCCGACCCCCACCTAGAAGAAAGGAGGGCGGGCGGCGGACAGCGCGGACACAACCATCGCGCCAGCGACACCTGCTGGCTCCAAGCTGCGCAGCAGAATTGTCCTGCAAGGACAGGGAGGAAAGGGGAAGAGGAAATGCAGCGAAGTGCCGCAATGCATCCAACCTCGGCGTCGGATATGCAACCCTTTCGCGTAAACGGCCATAACTCATACTACTGACACGCTCAGGGGAACGCTGGTGGCTGAGGTACCATGGCCCAGTGGGGATCCGGATGCAGTCGTCGCGTTACCAAAAAGAACGCATCATAAGAAACAAAGGGGCGTGTCCGGCCACGGGCCACAAACAGGGCCCACGACATGTATCTAAGGAGCGGCCCGAAAGCCCGAGCCCTACTCCGGGGGCCTGTTGAGGCCAGCTGGGGCCACTCGGGGGGGCGGGGCCTGTTGAGGCCAGGGGCTACCTTGGGGGGCTGTCTATGCGAGGCCCGAACCAAGACATACGACGTCCCGATGTTCGTCAATACGCAGTCCCTTGAAGTCCCGACCCTTTCCCCGGGACCCGTTTTCCATCCCGAGCCGTCCTTTGACGGTCCACGGGCCCGGCGAGGGCCGAAACTGACCAAGAACCTCCCGCCGTGATCTATCTTACGGCGCCATCGCGTCTGGGGAACACTGCCAGTGAGGGGGCGGGGACAGGTCAGACGATGCGGAGCACCGGGGGCGGTCGGGCCGCAGGTCGAAGGCGTCCGGGACCTCCACGGGCTCCCAGGAGGGCGGCCCCGGCAGCAGCACCGCCTGTGGGCCCAGGGGCACGTCGCCGAGGAAGGCGAGGCTCGACGATCCCCGGAACGTGTGCTACGGCGGATTCCTGCGGCGTCGGCGCGCACCACGGCTTCTGACACCGCGTCGATCGTTCAACCTTGCACCGACCGCGGCCCCGATCGTTCAAGGTTGAAGTCCGTCAGGTCCAATGGCGCTACCCCGCGCCACCGGGTGCTGCCGCGTCACAGAATTCAACCTGGAACGCCTTCGCTAGCGTCGCCGGCGCGCCAACGCCGCAGGTGGGCGTCCGACACTCGGCGACTCCCATGATTCGCATGTAAAAAAACACCTAACCCTTTGGGAGGGGACCTAAGTTAGGAGGACCAACACGCTTAGGGAAAGGGAGGTATTTTGTGCAGATGCACCGAATCAAACCGCCCAGAAAAATCATCCCTAATGTGAAGATTGGGAGACCTGGGTGAGGCCACGTCTCCACTGTGTTATTAAAGTTAAGGGTTCTTCTCTATTCTCAATAATCCTAGGGGTGTGGTTTGCAACCTGCCCGGGGGAGGCGGGCGAGGGTCTCGACAGAGTTCTCCGCCGCGCCCCGAAGAGATCCAACGGGGGCAACGAGGATGCGGATGAGGATGCAGCGATGCGGGGGTCACCCGCGCCGGGGCCCCTGGAGGGCGGTAGGGCTCGCTGAAAAGCTCGTGCGGGACATGCGCGAGCGGGAGCGAGACAGCACGTCATGCCGGCCGACCTCTCCGGGCTGGGCCGCTGACGTCAGATAGAACAAACGTGGGCGCTTGTACACTCCATGTGGCCCGTGCAACGAGGCACAAATAAGGTGTCAATTGCAGTACTGTGCAAAACGACAACGACCACGACCACGACAGCGACGACGACAGGGCGGGCGGAGCGAGGCGGAGCAGAAAAGACGAAACGACGAGGGGGAGGAGGGAGGAAGGAGGGAGGTAGAAAAGGGGAAGCTAGGCAACCACCTCGGCGGCAGCTTCGCCGTGAAATCCTGGCTGGCCGGCACGGCAGAGGAGGGGGGAAGGAGGCAAGGCCATCAGTCCGTGTAGCGCTTGCAAGGGCGGACGGGGGCAACGAGGTGCCCCCCAAACACCAGCTGCGCTGATCGCAACCCGCAACCCCGGCGTAACCACACCCGTTGCAGTCGCCGAGGCAAGTTCGCGTCGTGAAAGAGTCACGACCGAATGCTTGCTGCCAGCGCTGGCCTCCCAGACCGACAAAAGCTAGGCTCGGAATGAGAAGCCGGCTCCAACGAAAGTGTCGGGGCATCTGGGGACTCCGTGTTGAGAAAAAAGCATCGGATGCCTGGTGTATTAGCGCCAACGTGTGCTTGTCTAACGAGGCCCGTCGATGTGCGGCGCAAGTGGCGCGGTGATCTGCCGGTGGAGCTGAGCCGATTGGCGAAAACTGGTGAGCGTTATTCGATTCGGCGTTTCGACATTGGGCGGAAAGGAAGGAGAGGGGGAGGGTCTGGCTCCAGACCTCTGCTTAGTGCGACTGTTTGCAAGAGTGCTGCCTCCGGGAGAGGGACCTCGCCTGCTCGAAACAGGCGCCAAACGCAACCAAGATCTACTCCAGGGGGGGGGAGAGGGGAGTGCGAGGGCCGGCGCCGATCGGCAAAACACTGAATAACAAAACGCCCACAGACTGGCCCAGCACACGTCCTCCTCCTCCTCCTGCTCCTCCTCCTTTTCCTCCTCCTCCTCCTCCTCCTCCTCTTCCTCCTTCTCATCCTCCGCTTCCTCCCCCACTCCTAGCCTTTTCGATCAGGGTCGGCGGCACCGGCCGTCAGGCCTCTCCAATAACAAAACGCCCGCAGGCTGGCCCAGCACACGTCCTGAGGACCATCGAGAAGTCCCAGGTGCCGTTCAGCACGTGCACCAGGCGGCCCGGGTAGCGCGGGTACGCGGGCGGGTCGCCGGGCCACGCCCGCGGGCCACCTCCCCGGACCTCCGCCGGTATGAGCTGTTCGACTGGCGGGCATCCCCTGGGGCCGGTTTGTCGAGCAGGGACCGACCGTCCCGGAATTCCTATGGGCCTACCACGAAAGGTTCTCAGAACCCAAGAATGTTCGAATAACAAAGCAATGTGCTTAGTGAATGAGTCCCATGTGTTTCAGCAAGATAGTTTCAGCCAGACATGTTCTAAGGACATTTCGTGCAGACCACAAAAAGTTATTAGAACATTCTTTGGTAGGCCAATCGGCGAGCTAGGACGCTTCGCCACTGCTTCAATTGGGGGCCCCAGGCCCATCAAACATGCATCCTGGACGAAACACCTAGCCCTGGGGACGCAATCGGGACCTCATGGAGCCGCGGATTGAAGAATCATACGGGAGGATGTCCAGGTCCAATCCCCTCCTGGCTTCCCCATTCTCCTTTTCCTCCTCCTCCTGCCCCATCAACAAAATTCGCCCCGCCGTCTTCTGGCCACTCGGACCCCTTCCGCAGGGCCAGCTTCTCATCTTGAGCTGCTCCTCGGACGATCCGGGGGTCGGGAAATGGCCCTCAGAAAACCAGAATGGCGCGAAACCGTGCGTCTCGACTTGTTCGGGCCGCCAGATCTCCAGACCTCCTCCTTCTCCTCCTTCTCCTCCTCCTCCTCCTCGTCCTCCTTCTCCTCCTTTCAGCACGGCGCTGACTATCCACATCGATCCTGGCATGACCCATCCCGGGCGCGAGGGGATCGGCATGGGCCAGGACAGGCGCAGGCGTGCAGGCAGGCGCCCTGTGGCTCCTGCTGGAACCCGGAACCCGGTGGCGTGCGAAGTCGTCGACCTCCGCCCCTTCCCAGGGCCGGTCGGGCCCTCGCCATCGCTCGGACGTCCATTCCCTGTTTTTTTCGGTTTCGTGCGTGGTTTTTTCGCCAAATGATCAGGGATGCTCCTCGATGGTCTTCGCCGAAGGAAACATGCACACGTCCGAGCGATGCCAAGGGCCTGGGGGGGGGGAAACAAACTGGGGCCAGGTGGCCCTCGAAGCGCCGCTCCGTGGGCCGCAGGCGCGCACATGTATTGCTGCGCGTAGGAGTGCAAGCGCTGGGGACAGGCGGAGAGGCCAGACGGAGGAGACAGGGAGACGAGAGGGGAACTCAAGAGAAAGGGGGGGGGGGAAAGGAGTGGGAGGTGACGGCAAGCGTGATAGGCCGGCTCCTGCTCCTCCTCCTCCTTCTCCTCCTCCTCCTCCTCCTCATCATCATCATCATCATCACCATCCATCATCATCATCATCATCATCATCATCATCATCATCATCATCATCATCATCATCATCATCATCATCATCACCACCACCACCACCATCATCATCATCATCATCAGCATCATCATCATCATCATCATCATCATCATCATCATCATCATCATCATCATCATCATCATCATCATCATCATCATCATCATCATCATCATCATCATCATCATCATCATCCATCATCATCATCATGATCATCATCATCATCATCATCAACATCATCATCAGCATCATCATCATCATCATCATCATCATCATCATCCCCTTCCCCCTCCTCCTCCTCCTCCTCCTCCTCCTCCTCCTCCTCCTCCTCCTCCTCCTCCCCTTTCTCCTCCTCCTCCTCCTCCGCACCTTCCTCCTCCTCCTCCACCTCCTCCTCCTCCTCCTCCTCCTCCGTGGAAGCCTCGCCCAAGGCATGAGACATCGGCGCCCCTGGGTACAGGTACTGCGCTCTCCTGGCCTACTCGCCCCCGTCGTCGCGTCCGAGAGGAAGGGGCCATTGGGGGGCGATGCGTCCCCCCCCCGAGCCCAGTCCCGGGCGGCTTCGGAGCTATGGCTCGGGTTAGGTCGGGCATGTCCTCCAACACAGGCGGACTTGGGAAGAACAAGTAGAAATAGGCAAGACATATCAAAAAAAGTCAACCGAGCACGAACAAGCGTCACCCGACTATTATTTAACTATTCTTGGATTTTCCCCCTGTAGAAGGACATGCCCGATTTAGTTTCTGGTGGCCGTTCGGGACGACCTGCACCCCCCCCCGGGACGCCCTCGGCGAGGCGCGGTCGCAAGAGTGCATCCCGACGCTGGCGAACCGCCGAGCACCGACGAACGTGCCTGAAGGCCTCGAACCTCGGGACCCTGACGCCCGCCCGAGAAATTTCTAGACGAGACCCGAAAAGCCTGGGGGGGTGGGCGAGGGTCTTGGTCGTGGGTCTGGTATGCAAAGCCCCTTTACCTGCAAGATCCTGCACGCACGCCCTGGTCAATGCCCCCCTGTCTCTGTAGGACCCCTGGAACGCATTCGTATGTATATTGACCGTGGCCCAAGGCGGTGGAATCTGACTGGGGCGAGGAGGGTGCGGTGTACCGAAACAATGTTGAGGACTAACGTTGCCCCTGAGGTTAGGTCGGGCATGTCGTCCTACAGGCGGATTTTGGAGGAAAGAAGTAAACATACTCCGACAATACCCCGAAATAGTCAACAATAGACGAAAAATCGTCCCAGACTGTTTTCTATAGAAGAACAATGTTTGGTTATTCCTCCCGTACAGGGACAAGCCCGATTTAGCCCGTGAGGTCTTCCCACCTGGCGAGCCGCCAGCCGTCCCAGGCGCGAGCACGCCGACAGAGACCGCCGCGGCAAGCGCAGCGCGGCGCATGGCGCCGCCCCCCACCGAGCCCTCCTTCGCTGCGCAGATCGCCAAATCCACGGCGTGAGAATTTGGGCGCCCGAGTTAGCCGGGTTAACTCGGGCCCAGGGTAACTCAGGCTTGGATTCCCGAGCAAAAACGAAGCAGAGTTAGCCATGATCCGAGTTACCCCTGGTGATTTGGGGCTCTGGACGCCCGGATTATCCGGGGTAACTGGGGCCCGAGGTAACTCGGGTTCGGAATCCCGAAAGCGAACACGAGTTAGGCCTGACCCGAGTTACCCCTGATGGTTCGGGGCTCTGAAGAATGGAGAGGGGAGGGAAGGAGGGAACAGGACGGATGACCCAGAAGCGAGACGGCCGATCGGTGACGGTTTCTGGCCCTCTGCCAGTACCAGGCCGTGTCAGGAGAAACAAAAAAAAACAACTCGGGACGAACAACTGACCCTGGGGAAAGGGGTCGAGAGCACCGGGGGGGGTCCATGTCTCCAAACATCAAAACGATACAAAAAACGCACCGCCAGATCCCTTGAGAGCGAAGGGGGGAAGGGAATCGGGAAGGAGGCGGCGGGAAGACGAGGGATAATAAATAACGGAGCAGACAATGGTCTCATTTGCTGACCGAATGCCCAAGTCAACGGTGAGCTAGCGACATCGAGGACAGCTGCAGCATTTGTTGTGCACCTGTGATCCTCTTGCATCGCTCAATCCGTCGCCGCGAAAACACACAACAAAGTGCCAGAGAGACCCTGAACAGCCGTGGATACTGTCTCGAGACATGGAATTCTCTTAGCACAAGACAAAGATTGGTTGGCAGATAGGGGGCGAAAACTCACGCGAGAACCAACAAGCTACGGAGAAGCTGGATGCCGAAGTAGGTGCATGGCATAACCGCCCAAGCGTCTTAGCGGGGGACCCCATAGACGGACGCATGTCCATGGAGGTGAGCTCCAACACGAATCTAAGGAACCGACCTGATATTCGAAAGCCTTGTGTTAGCAATGGGCGTGCAAACTCCGATGGGTTAGGCTAAGGGAAAAGATCCTTCGGTCCAGCCGCCGTGGAGACTTTCACCAGCCAGTGCCTGAGATCACCAGTACGGCGTCGAATGTCAAGAGTTTTGCTAGGCAGTTGACCAACAAGCGTCTGGAGAAAGCTGTGGTCAAAGGAAACACATCTGCCTTCGAAACCCAACTCGAAGCGGGACCTGCGTGAGTAGGACGTACTCCCTCACTTGGCCCTTTCCCTCATTTAGGCCACGCACTGTCTCAACGATATCGTTTCTCCCACGCGGCGACTCTGAGAGGCGGCCTGGACGCGCAAGGCGTTCAGAAGTGCCTGCGACTCGCGCTGGTTTTCGTTTTGCCATGCTGTCTAGCCATAATGAATCGACTTGTCACGCTACTTTGCCATAAATGTTCCGCTATATTGCTGACTTGTCATTCGTCTTCGCTTCCGTCTCCCTCCTCCGTCCCGTTTGCCCCCAGCTTCGTCGCTCGCTGTCGGGAGAAGGTCACGCCACTGGCTGTCCTGTGTGTCTACCACCTCGCTGCAAACACGCAGCCAATCCCCGCGCAAGCTAAACTCCTTTAGTCCATCTGGTGCCACACGCCGCGCCCTCGTGCTGCTGCCTGGGCTCGCGTCACCCATCCGAGCTGCGGCCGGGGCCCGCGGCGCGCGCAAACCGCGCGGGCAGACGGACGGACGTCGCCGTTGCGTATGCTACCCCTTGCGCCCTGTGAAAGAGACAGAGGCGGCGCGCCAGTTCCGCGCCTGGGTGGCGCGGGTGCCGCCACCGTGCCGTGTCTGACTCGCCGCGTCGAGGCTCGTTCCCCCGCGAAGCGACTCCAAGCCTGGCCGAGCGCGGTGGGTATGCCGCTTGGGCGCCGCCTCGGGTGGCGCAGCGGCATGGCCGTGCCCCGAAAGTCGCGTCGGCGCACCCCTGGCGAGCAGCAGACGGCCAACACGGACAGTGCTGTCTTGCGCCTCGACGGCCGCTGCAACGAAGAGGGCACCTCGACGGCCGCTACATGACAATCATCCGGCAGCAGCTTGTCGGACGGCAACGGTGGCCACAACAAGCCGCCGGACATCGCCCTCCGCATCGTGCCGCCAGAAGGAGGAGCCACACCGGCTGAGCTGATCCATATCGTGAACACCTGGTAGGCAGGCGCCCAAACCCTCGTCAACAACTACGCTCACGAAACCATCCGCTATGACGGGTACCGCCTCTATGGCTTCGACATGTGGTACGGCATGGCTGACGCTCGCTTTGCGCACTCCGCGATCGACAAGGACGCCGCAATCGATGCCTGTTGCTTCTGGCTGCCACGTCTTCGGCTTCAACACGCAGAACGCGTGGTGGGAGTGCTTCCTTCGACACGCACGAGCTCAGCCGCGCCTGGAAGCGCCCGTGCATGGGCCTCGCTGTTACTGCCGGATCGGACGCCAGTCGTCCGGGCCGTTCATCTTCTTCTAATGTGTCTGGGGCCCGCAACGGTGCTTCCTCATTTTCCTGCAGGGCCCGCAACGGTGCTCCTCCCTCTTCCTCTTCTGGGGCCCGCAACGGTGCCCGCCCGTCTGCTTGTCCGTGATTGTCATTGCCGGGCCGCCGTCACGCCAGGCTTCCTCGCTGGGCGGCGCCCCCACCAAGGCAATGATGATCGACAAGGACGCCGATGGCACCATCACTCCTGGCAACGAGGTCCTACCCTGGGTCTCGGACAGCACGGGCCCGCCGCCCCACCTGCCGAAATGGCGGGTGATGCGGAGGCCGCTGGACCCGTGGCTGATCCCACCGCCGCCCCCAGAGCGCCCTCGTGAGCGCACAAGGCGCCCAGAGGAATGAGGAAATCAAAAGGTACCCCTACCGCCAGGAGGCCCCAAAAAGGCGAAAACGAGGGAAGGTTAGCGGTGTGGTTGCCTTTCCCTCCTCCGAGGGGAAGCCGCCCTGCCGCCCCGCAGGGAGGCCGCCTCCCAGCTCGTGGCGCCCTCCGCCGCGGCGCTGCGGTAGCCGGCGGCCGCCGCCAGAGAATCACGCGCCTCTCCCTGCGCCAGGCCGCCGCCGCCTCTGCAGCCCGGTCCCGGCCTCCTGAAAGCAACACAGCCCACGCCCACCCTTTGAACGCCCGAAGTGGGCACGGAAACAGTGGGTGCGATGCCCAACAACAACGACGACCAGAAACGGGTCCTACGCGAGATTACACAGCGCCCTTACACGGTGGCTTGCGCGGGCCGCAAGCGCGGCACGCTTCCTTGGAAGCGAGGGAGCTTAGACGCGCGACCTTGCGCGGGCAGCGCACGCGCCAGTGTCGGCGCAGACGACCTCGGCTGTTTTCCGTCGCTCAGACGTGGTTCAAAACCGACAACGCCGCTGTGTTGGCAGGCGGCCTTCTGTCTCATATGGGCAGCGGCCGTGGCGGCGCGTGCAGCGAGTCCTGCTCAAAATGAGCAAGAACCGCTGTTGGGCATCGTGCCCATTCTTTCCGTGTACATGTCGTTCGTGCCGACGTCCCCAGCCAGGACCCCCACTCCCGACCGGATGATCCGGAGGCTCCTGGCCAGGGGTGGGGGGGCATTTTAGTCCCCGAGAGCTCCCAAAAGCCACCCCCACCCCTAGCCAGGACCTCCTGGATCGCCAGGCCGAGAGTGGGGGGTCCTGGCTGGGGGTTATGCGTGGGTCCTGCTGTCTTTATCTTCGCCTGTGCGAACCGCAGTCTTGCCCCCATTGCGTGCAAAGAAGGCCTGCCAGGTCGCGGACCTCCCCGTCGCACTATGCCATACCATCCAGAGCATGACAAGCAACCCTGTGAGAAAACAAATGTCGTGTTGGGGGGAAGGGGTTGGGATGATGAAAGACATGAGCAATAGCATATGGATGCAATGATAAATACCTTCGTCCACCTTCGGGTAATGGTATCCTCGTTTCGCCCAACCCCATCCTCTCAATCCGATGATTGTCTTCCCGACCCTTAGTTGAGGGGCCCAAGGTCTGCAATCTGCAAGCTGGTGGAACTTCAATCGTGGACTGGCCATGGATCTCGCCGCCGCCCTCATCAGAGAAGGAACCTCCCATGCTGAACCGTCCTGTGCACTGCAACCCTGGCTCCGGCCTGCTACCAGCCACGGTGAGGACCTCGGACAAGGAATCACAGGACGAGGAATCCAGGGTCTGGAAGCACGTGGAACACCACTGGAGCCTTGGCCGTGGATATCACCGCCGCCCTCATCGGGTAAGGAATGCTCCAGGGTCTGAAGCCTCCTGTGCACATCCCTTAACCAACGCCCCACCGTACCAGAGCCAGCCAGAAAGCGGCTGTCATTGCGAGCGGTGACTGCGCGACGGTGGTGGCTCGAATCTTCCGTGGCGTCGGACCGTCAGAGTGCAGAAGGCGAGGAAGCGAAACGGATAGGCCCGAAAAAGGTGGCGACGATATAAAGCGACGGCTCGGAGAGGTGTGGGGGGGAGGGGCAGGGTGGGAGAAGAGCGGAGTGGAGCGGGTGGGGGGAGAGCGAGAAGCGCGAGAGGGAAAGAGTGGGAGAAGGGAGAGGGGCGTGGTGAGAAGGGCACGGGGGGAAAGGCTTCCCGTTCAACCATGGACGCCTTCCCACTGAGGGGCACCGAGAGTGGGGGGGGATGGCACAGGGGGGGACGCATCGACCTGGAATCGGCGATGCATCGCCGATAGATCGGCGACAGGCCCCCGATATAGAAACCGCACCCTCCTGGGCGGGGTGCGGTTGTCGGGCCCCTATCAGCGATCAATGGGCGATTGGGGGGTCGAAGCATCCCCCCTTTGCCCGTCCCCCCCTTATCGTTGCTCCCGACCTACGTGCCCATCAGCCTCTGACGGTATTTGGCGGCCTTTCGGCGGCAGTCGGCGGCCATTCTGCGGTACTCGGCGCTCTCTGGTGGCAGTCGCCGGTCCCTTGCGGCAATTGGCGGTCTTCCGCTGGACAGCCGAATCGCAAAGCCATGATCGTCCACTGGAGGAGACAAGGACAGCAGCGGAGAGCGAGGCCGCTGGCAGTTTCCCCGCGCACGCCCCTCGCTGTACAGGACTCGGGGCCGCCAGTCGCGCCCCCCCCCGGAGAGAGCGGCCTCCCCCTCCGCTTCCTCACTCCACTTCCTGGCTCCGCTTCCTCACTCCCCTTTCTCACTCCCCTTCCACACTCTCCTGCCGCACTCCCCTTCCGAACCCCCCTGCCGCACCCCCCCCCGTACGGCAGGTTCGTGTCGTGACGACCCTGGCGCGGGTTTCTGACACCGCGCGGATCGATCAACCTTGAACGATCGGCGCCGTTTCGATCGCCAGATCGTTCAATACTGGCCGATTCTGGACCGCTGGCTCCCTTCAACCTGGAACGCCCGCGGCGAGATCGCCGCCGCGTCTACACGACGATATAGATCGCCCAGGCGTACGGCTACCCTAGGCCCTACCCAAGGGCCTACGGTAGCCTAGGGTAGGCCATGCCGAAGGGCCCAGGGTAACTTTGAAGGGCCTAGGGAAGGGCAAAGGTAGGCCCTACCCAAGGGCCTAGGTAGGGCAAGGGTAGGGCCTACCCACGGGCCCAGGATAGAGCAAGCCCAACCTCTGCCGCCTCCTCCTCCTCCTCCTCCTCCTCCTCCTCCTCCTCCTCCCCCTCCTCCTCCCCTCCTCCCCCTCCTCCTCCCTCCTCCTCCTCCTCCCTCCTCCTCCTCCTCCTCCTCCTCCTCCTCTCCTCCTCCTCCCTCCTCCTCCTCCTCTCCTCCTCCTCCTCTCCTCCTCCTCCTCCTCCTCCTCCTCCTCCTCCTCCTCCTCCTCCTCCTCCTCGCATCGGCCGAGCGCAGCGGGCCCGCTCCCACCACCGCGGGCGCGCGCCGAGCGCGCGCGCCGATGGCGCTCGGTCGGGGGCCGGCTCACCCATCGCCGCCTGGGGCCCCGGCCCCCTCCCAGTGGCGAGCGAGGAGGAGGAGGAGAGGAGGAGGAGGAGGAGAGGAGGAGGAGGAGGGGGGAGGAGGGGGGAGGGGGAGGGGGAGGAGGGGAGGAGGGAGGAGGAGGAGGAGGAGGAGAGGAGGAGGAGGAGGAGGAGGAGGAGGAGGAGGAGGGAGGAGGGGGGAGGCGGAGGGCGGGAGGGGGAGGGAGACCAGGGAGGAGAACGGGGAGGAGGGGGCTTGAAGGGGGAGGGCAGCAGCAGGGCGAGGAGGAGGAGGAGGGGAGGAGGAGAAGGAGGAGGAGGAGAAGGAGGAGGAGGAGAAGGGGGAGGCGGAGGGCGGGGAGGGTGAGGGAGAACAAGGAGGAGAACGGGGAGGAGGGGGCTGGAAGGGGGAGGGGCAGCAGCAGGGCGAGGAGGAGGAGGAGGAGGAGGAGGAGGAGGAGGACGTGGAGGTGGAGGATGAGGCGAAAATGCGGGGCTTCTCAGAGGGCGGCGTGGCTTCTCAGCCGGCCTCTGGCATTCTGAAAGGTTTCCTGCGCCTTCGGGGGCGCCCGAGCCTTCTGACAGGGCTCGCCCCCCCCCCCCCCCCCCCCCTCTCGCTCCCCCCCCAGGCGCGCGCGCCGCCGATCTTCGCGAGGCTAGGAAGGATTTTACGACGGACTGTTCTTACGGGCCTGATTCGGTCTCGGGGGGGCTCTCTTCGGCGGGGGTAACCCCTTCGGGGGGGGGGGGGGAGGGGGGGCGTGTTTCCAAGGGCGCCCAACTTTGCGCTTCGCGCTGCGGGGAGCGCGAAGCGCGCATCACTTCGAGGCTCTTGCGCCGCCCCCCCGTGGGGAAGAGGGGGACGAGGAGGCATCAGCGCCGGGCCGCGCAGAACTTCTCGTTCTTGAGGGCC